ACAAGTCACGCGCATCGTGCACTAAGTATACGGCCGCTCCGGGGACAGCCTTTTTTGTCTGACGCTCACATTCACTGCGAAAGCGCTACCTCTGGACGCCGTTGTATTTTATCTACGAGTTTTGTACCTATTGTAGTTTTGTGAATATATAAATTGCTATCTTAAATTTTTATGTGCGAGCTGGCCCCCAAAAATCCGATTATTGAATAAATCTTGCGAGCGCCCTGGCAAATGCCACCCAGCCTGGCGCTCCCTGGTAATACATTGCCAACCTTAACTGAATGATAAAGGTCCCCAGGCTGGTAAGCCTTAGAAATCATACAGGTGCTCTATCTACTATGGCAATGGCAATCTCAGGGTGGGTTGACTTATATTCATGGGTGCCTTTATCTAGCTTGGCCCACCGGCGATGCTACTGCAATAATCCATAACGCGATCAGCCTTCCAGGAGATTGAAGAGACATCCCTACCAGTGCATGGTTGTCCCGGGCGGTCGCCTCTCGACTGCTACACATGCGACGAGCTCACGCCTGACAATTGAAGCCTGCAAGATGGCAGAAATAGCTGCGATCTCCCGACACCATGCCAGAGATGATTGGAGAAACAAAATTTGAGTTCCTTGTACAAGACATTGAGCGTCTGGCGCCACAAAATCGAAGAATTTGAGAACCGCGGCCGCGGCGCAATCTGCCAGCTAGTGATATTACGTTCCCAGAGAATCAACCTAGCCCATTCATGTATGTACAACTTGAATGGCAGATTTGTATGTCTCGAATTCAATTTTAACTTGTTTTACAAAAGTTACATGTCGCGCAACGCGAGTCGGATGCTCAGGGCTTGCATTGCATTGAGCCCTAGATCATCCCGAAGGAACTCTTTCTGTTCCGCGTCCGACAGCTCTGCCAGCACGCTCAGGCACACACCGTCAATAACACCATGGCTAATGAAGACGGACATAAGATTGTCCGTCGCAGGGCGAGTTGACCGGAGAAAAGCCCGCATGAACGCCTTATCCTTCGGGGCTCCAGACGGGTTGAAGTTGGAGTGAACCACGGGAGACACCACAGGTGCTGGTCTCCTGGGGGTCTGCAATTCTTCTCTAGGTGGCGCTGACTAGAGTGACCCATCGAGCCTATTACCTTCTGGTTAGAGGTAGAGATGTGCATGGACGCACCACCTGAGGCTGCGCTGCATTGCGACTCTCGGCGGAAGGGGTACCGTGGCTGGCAGACATCACGACCGGTCCAGATCTCTGAGTCCCGTGAGCTCTTTGATTGTGCCGGGCCAGATACTCGCGCATGCATGCCTCCGCGGGCCATGCGTTTGTGTACCGCCGCAAGACCGGCAGCTCCTCCACAATCTAGAACAAATCGTCATGGCCAATGCAGCAGCAAAGGTGAGAAATAACATTACCCGTTCCAGGAATATAGTTTTATCCTTGGCGTACTGATACTTCCATGACAGATGTTTACGCAGGTATTTCTCTGCTGCGTATGGTATCGCGTTCTGATCACGTCACAATAGTTTCAACTGGGGCTTGAGATTTTTCAGATATTTATAACACGAATGCTTACCCGCAACTCGTTGGCTTCTGACTCACTAAGCCCTGGCATTCTGTGGGCACTTCTAAAAAGCTTCCACCTCACGGGTCGCTCTATCAATCTCTCTGGAGGCATCAATGGACGAGACGTCGATGGAGGAGATGAGAAAAGGGGAAAACCTATACGAGGTAGCTGCGGGAAGGCTTATATAGAAGCATTCACGGGGTCTTCCGAGCTCTTCGACATCCTTTGGAGAGGACATTAATAGCCTGGGAAACCAAGAAATCTCACCTAACGAGAAGTTGCTCCAGCGCTTTCAGGTCCCCGCCGGAAGCACGATCACCCGCCGAGCCTCTCATCCAACTCCGCCACTTCTACCTGCGGCGATGTCGATGTTGCATGTGCAACGGATGCCGGACCTCTCCCCAGTCCCTATGAGGACGAGCTTGCGCCCGACAGCAATGACTGCCCGTCCCGGCCGGACCCCGTGTACTCCCGTCCGCGGAAGCCACTGCATGAGACTGCGCCGGGCCATAAGCCCGTAAACGAGACCACCGCTGATGCCACTACAACCCTTCGTAACGCGGTCAGTCTGCCAAGAAGGTTGAAGAAGCGTCCTTACCTGGTCGTCCCGGGCGGTCGCCCGCACACACGCGACGAGCTCGCGCCCGCACTCGACACCTTGAGGGATCGCAAGATGGCCCGAAACGACTGTGATTGTCCGAACGCCACGGTATGCCACATAGATGAGCGGAGAAAAATGAAAGTTTTGGGTTCCTTGTACAAGACGCGTATAGCATGTTCTTTTGCAGGGTATAATCGGCATTGAAGGGGGTTATCGGTAGCAAAGGGGGTAAATGTAATACACAGCAAGAAAATTAATGCGACACGGAAAGCGTAGCGTGATATTTACATGGGTAAAAAGACCAGGGAGAGGCGGTATGGGCCAAGGGGAGGGGGGGTAGAAAAGAGATTATGCATCCAGTGCCAGAAAGTAGGTGACTACGACTATGCTACGGTAAGCAAGAAATGAATGGGGTATAGTTCGTCGTCGTGCAGAGGGTGTGCGCGTGTGTGCATCAAAAAGTCTGAAGGGAAGCAAAAGGGAAAAAGAGCCAGTGTTCATCGTTCAAGAGTTCATTCACGGCGGGGACTCGGAGACGGAGTACTCCGAGAAGCGGACGTTGTCCGACATGAGCCCCGAGTCGCCGAGGTGGAGCGTGCCGCCGGCCTGCTCGCTGCGCATGAGCAGGTCGTCCCACTTGGCGGCCTTCTCGCGCTCCGAGAGCTGCACCCGCGGCGAGTCTATCTCGCGGAAGCGCAGCGGCGTGCGGAAGTGCGACGCCGTCGCTGACGTCGGCGACGGCGAGTACAGCGTGTCGCGGTCGTGGATCGTCGACTGCATCGAGCCCGCGAGCGACTTGCGGTCGAGACTCCGCCCGTCGTCGACGGTGATCGTGGGCGGCGCGTGCGGGGAGCGCGGCGTCCGCGGCGTAACGGGCGGGCCCGTCTGCACGGCGAGGTCGAACGGTGGCGGTTTCCGGCGCGAGCTGCGTTTAGGCCGCTGCGGAGCGTCGTCGTTGAGGACGCCGAACTCGGACGTCGGGAGGGAGTACTGCGACGACAGAGTGCCGAAATGGTTCGTGGGCTCGGTCGTGTCGAAGGCGGGGATCAGGGGCGACGGGGGATGGGAGTGGGCGTCTGCTGCCGCGGGCTTGCTGCCGGCGGTGTGGCTGCGCCTCGGAGGCGGAAGCGATGGTCGGATGTCGCTCGGCGGTCGCGGGGCGCCTTCGCCACCAAGAGACCGTGTCCGGCTCCTGCTCTGTTGGTGTGGCTTCGGCAGAACAAGTTCATCTCCGCCCAACTTGCTGTACAGCTCGCCGGGGGTCATGATGTGCTGGCCGACGTTCGAGCTGGACGGCTTGGGGAGTGGAGGAAGCTCTTCGCCGTACGATGAAATCGACGAGTGGGTGGAATGCGACTTCTGGAAGTACCGTGAAGACGCCACCTCGGACGACATGGGCGAGGACGACCGTGTGGTGGTGCTATGTCGAGGGCCAGTGGAAGGACGTGAACTATCAGTGGTCGTACGTGGCGAGCTCCGCACCGGGGCAGTGGAGGGCCGCACTGCAGACAAGGACGTTCGAGAATTCATAAATCGCGAGATGCCGGTCTCGCTTGCGTCGTCGCGTCCCTTGCGGATGTCTAACGTGGTCCGGGGCGATGCCAGATGTTTATAGTCGTCCGGAAGGGCGGGTACGGGTGGTGGCGGCGTCGCGTCGTGATATTTTTCGCGCAACGCACCGGTCGATATGCGCTTCATCAGCTTCCAGATCTTGCCTCCGGGCGACGAGTCGTCGCCGCTGCCCTTGCTGTTGCTATCCGGCTCCTTACCCTTGAACGACCGCACTGACCGCAGCGTCTTGTCTTCCGGCGTGCCATTCGGCGCCGAGGGTATTGCAGTGCCCGAGCAGACCTGCTGGTTGACATCGACATACTCGTCCATGGAGGGGCCCAGCGGTCTCGAGGAGGAGCTCCCCGGGCTAGTCTTCGGGCGTCTGTCCAGCAGCTCGTCTGCATGCGCCCTGCGATGCTCCTTCGTCGAGCCCGGCCGCTTGAACTTCCCCGACACCTTCCTGCCGAGACCTCTGACCCCCGCTCCGCCGCTGCCGCTACTACTCACCCTCGCCTGACGGAAGCGCTCGTCCACGCCATACCGCGCGTCGTACCCAAACTCCCACATGCTGTCCTCGACGCTGCCCACCGCGATGAGCCGCCCTGCCGAACCGCCCAGCACCGTGTAGTACGCCCCGCCGCTCTCCTCGCCCTCGTCCCCGTCCGCAGCCACGCGCGTTGTGCGCCGGCTGTCCACAGACCCGTCCCTCAGGTCGCCGCTGCTGCCGCCCGACATCTCGGCGAGCTCCGACCGGCGCCGTGCCTGCTGCTTGTATGCGTGCGCGACGGCGCCGGCGGGCGTGAGGTTAACGGGCGGCGACTTGTGCCGCCGGGGGAGCTCGCTCGTGGTGGTAGTCGTGGCGACGTCGTGCGTAGCACGGCGCGCCGGCGGCGCGGCCACCGAGGCGCGGACGAAGCTCTTCAGGGATATGCGCGCACCGGGCTGCTGCTGTTGCTGGTGGAACGTCTGTGCGGTCGGCGTTGCGGGGTTCGAGGTCGCGCTCGCCTTGCGCCGGAGCACGTTGCGCTGCTTCTGGGGCTGCTGCTGCTGCTGCAGGGCGGACGCGTGCAGGGACGCGCGCGACGCGGACTTGCGCAGCGTCGCGGTGTCTTCGGTAGGGCGCCGTGTACGTTCGTCGGGGAGAGGACCGGTCGCCGTGCGTCGCGACGACGGCTGGCGCGAGAGGGACCCGGGATACATGGGGCTGCGGAGCGGCTCTGAGTCTGAGCCTAACGACATGATGGACGAGCCAGAGTGGGTTGGCTGCGCGGGCTTGCTTAATAACCGTTTCATATCGAGGTGCAGGCCGGCATCGCGCTCCACGCTCGTGATGGAGGACTTGCGCGACGCAGGGTCGGATGGGAGACGATGAGCCGCGAGACGGAGGTTGTTGCTCGATCGGGACTGCGCCAGGGCTGGCTGGGAGCGCACCTGGTGGCCGTGTGCATATGGCGACAACGACGGCCGGCGTGACGACGAAACGGACGAGGGTGATGGACTGACCAGATCGAGGGATGGTTCAGTCCAGAGCGCCGAGAGTGACAGCGGGAGCGAGCTGCTAATGGTGTCACCGAAGCCGGAAAACATGGACATGTGGTCGGGGGACGCCGTCAGAGGAGAAGCGGGAGTGTGTGACCCGTTACTCGACGGAGAATATCCAGCGCTCCGTCCGGTAGACGGCGAGGCAGTAGAGGGGGACGATGAGCCGGCGGACCGTTTACCAAAGGTGGCCTGCTGAAGATCGTAGTTTAGGTTAACGCCGCCATGAGACTGCAGACGTGGAAGCGCGGACGTCGATGTTTTCAATGAGAGATGGATGGCAGGCTGGACACCGTATTTTGTGTTTGAACGTTTGCGAGAAGTCGTCGGTTCAGTTGAGCGTTGCACGGCTGAGGTTCGGGAGGAAGTGGTGCGCTCTCCAGAGGGCTGCGATGGTTTATTGGACATGTAGAACTCTCTGGACGATTTAGGTTAGCGGCATAGACGGGTACTGCGGTCGTTTGCTCACAGGCTAACCACAAGTATTCACAGATAACAGAGAATAGAGTGCAGCTTTAGAAGAGCCTGGACAAGTTACCCACACGTTCGTTATGTGTGCAAAATGCAGGGCGGCCATGGGACTCACATAATCCCGAGAGGACGGCAAAGCAGCAATTCAAAGCTCCCGAGGCAGGACTTTGCGGCGACCGAAAGATTTACACGTTCAAGGGAGCGTTGGAAATTTGGACACGTGAATTGACGGCGACGAGGGTGAGCGTGGATGATTCAGGTCCCAGGATCGGGTTGGTGCTCGTGGTGGCCAGGCTGCTGTCCGGGTGCGGGGGTGCGGCAACGAAATAGCTTGGTGAACCAAGGATCGTGAGGGGGAGCGGACGAAGCAAGGAGCGACGGGGTAGACGAAAGGAATGTCGAGACTCAAAGGAGCGACGGGCGAGACGAGCAGACGAGAAAACAAGTCGGGGAGAAACCCTTTCGCTGGCAGAGCAATGGCCTGCACGTGGCATAATTCTCGGGACATATCCACGGCAATTGGTTCCGCCAGCGAGTTTGACGGTACCTCGCTCTCGGGCTTGGGCCCACTTCAGCCGAGACAACCGACACACTCTGCACACGCCTGCTGCTCGACGTCGGGCACGCTGTGCAGTACGTACACACTCTCTCATCGTCCTCATTGACACGCGCCTGCCGGTCTGGGCACTTCCAGAGGCGGCGTCCAATGCGGGGTTTGTTCGCGGACCGATCAATATCATCGTTGCCCAGTCGCCAACGCTACGCACCCGGGCGTCACGACAAGCTCACTGCGTACTTCGTCGGTAGGGGACATCCAGCCCTAGCTTGAAAATCATGCCACAATCCACTCCCCACACGATATATTCCTCAGTATCTCCATGCCCGCGCGACGTCTGCGACACGGGCAAAAGCTAACTGAATCAAGCACGTCGACAGACCCTTCGCACGCTGGCCAATAACCTGAGCTGGCTGGCTCGTGAGACCATCAAGGTCTTGCAGGCGCAAGGACGAAGAGTTCTGCAGGTACAGGGGAAGCGATTGGTGTTGCTCCGCCTCATGACCTCCGCTAATCGTGAATGGGATAGGCGAGCCAATAACGAGACACACCTCGAGGTACTCGAAGGTAAGAACGCGCCGTCTGTTACTATGGCATTCTTCGTATTGACGGAGACAAAAAGCAAGGCGACGCGCGACCCTGACGACGACGAACCTATTGGCCCTCTCCCTGATGCTCTGTTCGACAAGGTCGACAGCTTTCGCATGCAGGTATGTTCTACCACCCTTCACGTACTGTAGTGTATACGCTGAACCTTCGTTCAAGTCTTAAAAGTGAAGTTCAAGGTGCGATCACTGGAGCAGGGACGCGCGAAGAAGTCGTCCAGGAGGAGGGTGAGCGCGTGCGGCATTACGAGATGAAAACGGATGCCAAACTCGACATGTTCGCTCGGACGAGACTCTCCTTTTGTGGATGAGCCGAAGCGAGAGGCTCATGAGAAGGTTTATCCAGCTGCTGACTGCTTGCAAAGACCCTTATGAAGAGGAACGGTGCTGAGCGACGCCCCGTGATCTTGCTTCAGCCTTCGTCGCCAAGACTCCGCACAACACATAGCGCTCTTTCCCTCGCCGAAACCAGGGCACCACGCGGGAAGAAGGGCTATAGAGACGAGCCAAACAGCAGAGCAGTCCGCGCCTATGCTTACAGCCAGGGAAGACCAGTTGTCGCGTCTGCCCGAGAAGATAGAGCGTCTGTCCGCCGAGGACGAAGCTCTGGGCGCGTACTCCGAGTTGTCGACTTCGTGCAGCTGAGTAGAAAGACGCGTATCGGCCATCGGAACGTCGGAACCGCGATGGACGCCGCACCCGGTGTGAAGAAGAGTAGGCAGAATTCGGATCGTGGCGTACGCATATATTGACCCTACCAACACATCTGTCGTCGACAACTCAGCAAAAAGGTGATGGTTACCGATGACGTCAAGGCGGCACGTTTCGCAGACGAGGTCGGCTACCCGCCGAGCGCAACCTCCACGGCAGCTGGTAGGCACACCAGTTTTGTCCCATTGTCTTGCTATGCTTGTATTTGCGCTGTGCAATGCTATCGCTCTACTGCTGTATTTTGATAGATCTGACTGGCATACCGAGCAGATGAGGAAGATGGTTAATCTGCGTGGTAGGCGCGTGCTCATATCTGGCTCACATCAAGCTTCAATATAGGACCGCATTGCAGACGCCATCTATTGTTTCCGACGCGGATGGCCTGGCAGGCCTCTTCGTACACTTAGAGAACGGCGATCAATGATAGGTTGCTTTCGTGCCTAAATGCATCAAGCCTCCGCCTGCGGTCAGAGGCAGAGTCTCACCGGCCGTTCGCACTTCTCCCACTCAGCTCCCCCCATGATCTCCAGGCTGTATCTCCTTTATGCCGTGCTTCTGACGTACCTACAGGTCGCCCATGTGGTATGGGCCCAAACCCCGTCGTTTGCGGTGCCGACAACATGGAAGGTAGGTCCAGGTTCTTCCTTCCTTCTTCCGGTAACCAACGGTGAAACGAACGTCTGCAATATGGACAGGGATCAACAACGAATCTAACCTTGGACCAGAGGTACAACCTCGCAACGGCGATTATCGACACCGTCAAGGGGCTCTTCAATGCCAGTGACGGGGTTATAGACGGTGTGTACTATGATGCCCGCGTTGATTTCGCGAGCTCAGTGGTATCCGACGTTGGCCACCACCAGAACTCGGGTTTTCAGACACGAGCAGCATGCTCATCGCGATATCCTTGATGGATCGTATCAATGGCACCGCTCATCGAGCTCGCGAGCTGCTGCCGCCAATCATCCAGCTCGCTTGACAGGTTCTCGAATGCGATCGCATTCTCCGAGCTCGACGTGCTGACTCTACGCTCCGAGATGCCCGATATTGGTCGCCCCGACCCAAAGCTCGGCTGGTCCACTTCGAGGAGCAAACCGATTTTATGAGACAGCTGCTCATTTTCGCGTTTTAAGAGTTGTGTTCTCGTTGCTGAGCTGCTCCAGCAGAGTCTCGTCGTGGCCGCCGCGGGCG